ACTACCGCATATCTAGTAAAAGCTCGAGACTTCACAAACCTTCGAGAATATGACGTGTTACTAGAGTCACGTGACCCCCGCTGTCGTAACAATAAGTTTGCTATCCACTCGGGCTCTCACCCCATTGGGAATTGAATCAACTAATTGACTGACTTTGGGGACGAGTGTGCTGTCGTGTGAGGATGGGTTGGGATCTCTTAAATATTTTTCTACTGAAAGGCGAATGTTCAGGGATGACCTGATTTTAGTATTCAGAATTAAGGAGATTGATGCATCAGTAAGATTTGGAACAAATTAAACCAACTTTCAGCCCAGAAAGTTTTATATTTCCAATAGAATGGCAAATTTGTGTAGCCAACTGCTATCTGGATTGTTGGTAGAGGCTTCAGCTTTATAGAATTTTAAGAAAAAAAGATTGCTAAATATTTGAGGGATTACGGCTGGTTAAGTGGTTAGTTTTTGTTTGTTGAGGGAGGTTATGAGTCAGGACACCCTCTTCATGGGCCAAAATACTTCTTGATTTGCCAGAATTTATATACAGCCTTTTTCTGTGACATGATAGGCCATTCCATACAGATAGGTCAATGGTTTGATTCCCATGAGTCATAACAAAGGACCTTTTGACCTGTCTAGGCTATCCCATTTTCTTCTACTACCTTATTCCATAGTATATATAGAAAGCCTTCTTATATCCAATCCTAACCCCTAAAATACCCATTCATCTACTTTTAAAATCCCACAGTGTTGCAGCTTCTACTATGACTATAAGAATAGTCACATTGTTTTGACTTAATCTTCTTTGAGTTTTCTATGTTTTATCATATCTGTGTTTTCCATATATTTAAACATGTATTCTTCAGTCGTATTTCCTGCAATTTGAATATTTTTGTGAATTTATGGATTCCAAACCTTTAATAATCCTTAAAAGGCACATTCCTGTCTATTCAAGCCTCTCTCGCCTCGAACTAAAACATGTTAATAAATTTCTGTTCATTCCTGTATTATAATCCTCACCTCCCAACTTGAAATCACCCTGGTACCTCTTTGCTGAGCCATCTCAAATTCAACTACCTTTCTGAAATAATACGACTGAAACTGAACAGATGTTTCAAATGAGGGCTATCTAGCACCTTGTACTCATTATTTCTATGTATACAACCTGGTATCTTGTTTTTTATTAACTAGCTAATCTACGTTTTTAGAAGGATTTAGAGACTTTCTTTTGTGACACACACACACACACACGAGTACATTGCACATGTTTACTAGCTGAGGTTCTGTCACTAGAGTTTTTTCAGAACCAAATACTTTTGAAATCAGAAATGCATGAGCAGGTGAACTTTGTTTTATGAACTAGACTCATCTGACAAGAAGGAGGATGCTGGCATTATACACCTCACAGTACATAAAAATTCAGATACGAAAATAAAAGTTGTACAGTCGAATATGACAAAAACGCTCTTAAAGAAAATTTCTACCTTGCAGTTTTCAAGGGTATTCGTAATGTAAAGGATCACTACTTCTGGTGTGAAGAAGTCTGCCTCTTGGCTGCCTGCAGATCCCAGAAAAGTAATCAATGCTCCAGTTTTCCAACTACAACCAAAACTATATTCACCAAGATCAAACTGAGTGGGAATTTTAGTACTAGATATGTTTATCCCAATGTCTTGACAAGCAGTTTGTATCTCCAGCCACTAGCAAAATGGACTTTCTCTATGTCTCACCAACTCAAAGAACTGGTCACTATGCCAACTCTTACAGACCCTGTGCTTAGTGCCAACCTCTATGGTCGTTGTTACGACCGTGATCCAATGTACCGAACTTAAAGTATATTGTATACCACATCCTCCCATAATATATCATGCAGGTTAAACATGTATTAAACATTTTGTATATGTTCTGTAAGTGTATAGTTAAGTCTATACATTTAAATAACTTATTTACAAATAATATTTTCAGGTCATCATATTCTAATGAGTTACTCGGAAAGCGGAAAATAAAGCTGATGGAAACATGGCATCTATTTTTTAAAGAAACAATATTGTACTAGAGAAAAAGTAATCGTGGATTATTTGTTTCTTTTATTCACGTGTATATATTTGCTGCCTTTCAGTGGCTCGGCAGTAAGTCTTTCGACACTCAAAATCGAATTTCGATATCTATAGTGAGCAAAGCATAAATTGTCCATTCTATAGTTTTTGGTTAAAAACAACCAAATCAGATACCTGCTTAATTATCTAAACGGAAGTTCTAGACTAGACTAAGTATTTCACAGTAATATTATCTGTTACACCGTAACAAGAAATCCAAGAAAACATACTAAATACTAAACTATTTCTATTTGTTAACCACATTTTTATATCAAAGATTTTTTTTTGTTCTACCGCTGCTTTTGGAGCTACTTTTTCCATCATTGATAATGTTCAATCAGTCAATTATTGAATGTGTGAATGTGGTTGAAAGGGATTGCTGTGACCATAATTTCTTTTTCTATCCTTTTTTTTTATAAGGTATAATACATTTTGTAAACTTTTGGCTTATGAGCTGTCATCTACTTCATACTTTTGTTTATTATTTTGTTAATAGTACCACGATGTACACCCATTTTCGCTGGAATGACACTTCTCTATCGTAACCATGGCCTTCAGTTTACAGGTGAAAGGCTGCTACGTATGTAGATGATGGGTTTCTTTCTTTTTATATTTTTAATTACTCACGAGTGTAGCATGTGTATGTTTTCGCCTCAAATTCATTGCACTACTGTTAATTTAGACTTTTTATTATAACAATAATGAAGATCAAGTGATAGTAAACATACAATAGATAATTCTTTTTTCGATTTTCCTTTCATAGTACTTCACGGACAGCAGTTGCCAATAATTTACTGTATTAGAAATAATGTAAAATATTTACAGTCTCAGTCCAAAGATCATGTGCAGTATCTTGTATTGAAATATTTCAATTAATCAAGAATGCCACTTGACTTCTATTTTTGTTTATACAACATAATGAAGAATGATCTCCATATGAAAAGGCGACACAGAAAAAATATATTTAAAAAGTCCAATCTATCACATTTGTCTACTTTACCACTGAACGTACTTCCGGTATCTTAAGTAATGATGAAAGTGATAATCAAGAATTCCGAACAGGGTTGCAGACTTATTTCTGGAAGGATATATCGAAAGTGTTTTAGTTAAAATATCAAACAACATAAAGCCACACAACATTTCGAAGAAGAGAATCTCCCCCGTTCCCTATGAAAGAAGAAAAACTCACATAGCTAAGTAGTTAAAACAACGACCTCAAAACAACCCAATCCGAAACAATAAGTGTAAACAACTAGCAATATGGATTATCTTTTCAAATCAAGATGGTTTGTTTGTTGAATTTTGCGTAGTTACTCGAGGTCTTTCTTTGCTAATGCCTTCTATTTTTAAAGTGATAGACTAGAGAGAAACCAGCTAGTCAACACCATCCACCTGCAACGTTTGGGCTCTCTAACGGAGTAGTGGGATTGACCATACGTTATAACACTCCCACAGTTGAAAATACGAGCATATATGGTGACGAGTTTCGAACCCACGACCCACAGATTTTGAGTCGAGTATCCTAGCCTCCAGGCCATGTTAGGTCTGGTCAAGAAGGAGAAGACTCTAAGGGAAGGTAGAACCACCTTATGACAACTTCCAACTTTGCAAAGGGAGAGACAAAAACAGCACAGCCAATGTAAATATCTGAAAGCTATCTTTCAAGATAGATTATCCAAGCTTTAAGACGGCTATTGTACTACACGACGAAGAGGAAAAGTTACCAGAAAATAGCGTACAGCACTGAATAAATTCTTCAGTGGTAGCAGTGAGCAATAGAAATATAAAATTAGAAAGTGGGCTACTCAAGAGTGATTTTTGAATAAACTTTATATGCCCAAAATTTTAGTTTTGACATTGTGTTATAAAATGTACACTCATAAAGTATTCAATTTAGGAGCATTAAGTTTACATAAGATCAAAGAATAAACTCAATAGATGAGATAAAAATAGGTTAACTGACGTAAATTGGCTGACAACTATATTGGGATCAAAGTACCCTTTCAGACTAAGGCCTAACCTGAGTTACAGATGAAAATTAAATTGGTAAGATGATGTGTCAGATGATCCTTTTAGCACTATAAATGACTAGGACAAGCAAATTTGCATTCAGGCTAACAGGTATAGGGACAAAGATATTGCAGCGTTCAAATGAGTCATGATAATTTGTGTATGTCTAAAAGGTGCCACAATAGTCAAGACAGTATTCATTGGTAGGTTAGGTCAAGACATTGGTCATTAAAGGTTATCAGCAATGGCAAAGGGTGAAAAAAGTGTCTGCTGTTATGGAAAATTGTGGCCATAAACATGTGGTGACAGAAAAAGGAGAAATGCAGTTAGACATGATGGTGAAGTCCAACCATTAATAAAAAATAGACCAACTGCAAATCAATCCCTTCTCATCTCCACCTCTACTTTGCAAAGAATATTACAATGAAAAGCACTAGAAGATCATTGATCTTGGTTAACAATAAGAAAACACACGGTTTGAAGATATATTTTTCTGACATATACTGGGTCCCTTGGTCACTTTAGAAGTCAGTATGAAAGCCACAGCTTACTTCAGTATCATTTCTGAGAATACGATATAAAAGAAATCTATGGAAGTTACTTATTACTGATGTACAGCATCCGACGATAGGTGAAGTAGAGCAATATGACCTAATATTTTAATCAAGTTCTATATTAATAATCTGGAACTTGGATAGACCAAATAAATGATTAATATTAAACATGTGCTCATATACACTAGTCGAACTTAAAGCAGCCAATTAGTTTCTCCCGAAAATATTTAGAAAGAAGCTTCCCTTTTCTTGTTTGATAAGAAAATTCAAAATTCTGATAATTTCTTTATTAATATAGGTACGTTAAGGGATAAATGAAGCATAAAAAAGAAACTAAAGGTTTTCAACATATTTTACTTTTAATATCTAAATTGTTTCGAGAGAAGATAAAATATCATTATCTACAAAAAATTGTTTTATAAGATAAACTGGCATCAGAATTTTTCTTGTCAGAATAAAAACAGTTGAGAAGAATCGATATTTTTGTCAATATGAATAGCATCATAAAAATAATTCCAGAGGTATGAAATCTATAATCTCTCTTTGAAATAGATAATTCAAAACATAGTTTACGGTTCACATATTTTTCAATGGTGAAAGTAATGTTAGTATTCTAACTACACTGTATAGGTCATATTCATTGCCGACGACGCGTTTCGCTCAATCCAGAGCTCTTCAGACTAGGTGGAATAACAAAACACAGTAATGGTCGTAACGTTATTTATAAAAGCCATTTGTTACAACGATGATTGTTCAGGTATGAACGCCTTTTAGAAGCTAGAGAGGTATGGTTATAATTATACTTGTCATAAGAAATTAGGAATAAGCTAACTATATCTAGTCCTTAAACACTACGTTCTTTATCTAGACCTTAAGGAATTTTCAAGAATGAGAAGAGTGTATAATGATAGTATTCCGACTACACTATATTCGCAATATCGATTGCCGTTGACGAGTTTTGCTCAATCCATAGCTCTTCGGGCAGGCTGTGATACAACAAACACAATAGAGGTCGGAACACTAGTTATATAAGCCATGTATTATAACAATTAGTATTAGGCCCACTATAAGTTGTTATAAAACACTATATTCTTTATGTAGCCCATCAAAGATTTTCGAGAACTGGAAGAAAGTAAAATAATAGTATTCCAACTACAAAATATTCGCCATATCCATTGCCGACAACGTGTTTTGCTCAATTCATCGCACTTCAGGTCTGTTGGAACACGACAAATATAGTAATGTTCGGAACCTTATTTACATAGGCCCTTTGTTACAACAACAATTGTTTTAGTGTGAACGCTATTTATAAGCTGGCGAAATATGATTAGAATTATTCGTGTCATAAGACATTATTATTAAGCATATTAAGCACTACTTTCTTCATCTAGTCGTTTAGATATTTTCAAGAATTAGAGAAGTAAGTAATAAGTGTATTCGAACCAAACTATATTCGCTATACCAACTGTCGATGACGCATTTCGCTCAATTCAGAGCTCTTCAAGACAGCTGGATTACAACAAACACAGTAGTGGTTGGAACACTATTTATATAAGATATTTGTTACAAGAACAAATGTTATGGTATGAAAGCCTTTTACAAGGTGACTCAGCAGGGTTTTCAACATTGCTCAAGATACAACTTCAGCATAGGAGGACATGATTACAACGTCAGGAGAGACAATAGCGGGAAGTGGAAGATGATCTAATCCCGGTGCAGTAGTCGATGAAGGATGATATTGGATGACATGGATTTCCGGGAGTCATTCTTGGTCAGGAATAGGGCTTATCATGGTATCTAGTAGGATACAATCTACGCTGCTCTGCCATAGGAGGCGAACCACAACAGCAGACACACCAGAATGCATTCAGTACAAATGGAGATAAAAACCCTGAACAGCAATAATAATACAAACATATAATTTACCAACAAGATAACTGTACTCACTAGTCACAATCATCAGTAAAGTCCAACAATCTAACCCAATCAAAAACTACACAACATACTTTTAAATTACAGTAACCGAAAGAAGACAATGGTACAACTATATGTCACAATAGCTTAACAATAAGAAAAACAATTACACGAAAAGACGAGCTAGGTTCAACAATAACATCGAATTAAATTTTAATACTTTATTATGATGTGATTAATACATAATTAACGGTATATTACCTGAAGGTAATTTAGATCAATTATCATAAATTTAATGTAGAGTATCGATACAACACACTTGCAGAAAAATAACAAAGTGAAGCAAGTAACATAGAAATAAAATGTAAGATCATAAAAGCATATTTGGAATTCAAAACATGTTAAAAAAGTATGTATACGTTCGTAATTTAGATACATGACAATGTAC